ATCAAAGGTTGGCACCATCATCCAAAGGATGTCAGCAATGCTTTCTCACATGGTGACTCCTATTAGCATGAAGAATGCCCTATATGATTTGACGAGAGCTAAGTCACCTGCAAGTTAAGGTCTGTAAGTTAAACAAGTCCCTATATGATTTGAAGCAAGTCAGTAGAAAATGGTATCTCAAGTTAACATATGTCTTATCCAAGTTTGGCTTTCAGTCGTCATATGATGATTATTCTGTTTCTAGAAGTAAAACTGTGATATTGGTGATTTATGTTGATGATATCATCATAGAAGGACCTTCTTTGGATGACATTAACACCACCAAGCAGCATCTACAAAAGGGTTTCAAGGTCAAAGGTCTTGGTAACCTCTGATACTTTCTTGGCTTAGAAATAGCAAGAACTAACAAAGGGATATCTTTATCCCAAAGAAAATTTTGTCTTGAGATGCTGGAGAATGCTGATTTTTTAGTGCAAGCCAGCTAACTCCTATATCAAGAAGACTTCCCTTTCTGCAAGTGATGGAGTTTTGTTGGAAGTTGAATCTCATTTTAGACACCTAGTAAGATAGATGTAGTATCTTATCTAAACTAGACTTGACATCTACTTTGTTGTATAGCAGCTCTGTCAGTTCCAAGATTGTCCCAATATAGTGCATTTGAAGGCTCTGCACAAGATACTCAGGTATCTAAAAGAAAGTCTTGGAAAAGATCTATGGTTCTCATCTTCAACTTCCTTATAGTTGAGTGGTTATTGTGATTCGGAATGGGCAACATGTCCTGATTCCAGGAAGTATGTGACTCGTTATTCCACTTTCTTGGGGAGTGCACTAGTCACATGGAAGAGCAAGAAACAAGCAACTGTGTCAAGGTCATTTTCAGAAGCATAATATAGAGCTCTTGAACAATTATCATATGAAGGCCCGTGCTTAAAGACATTGATCAATTTCTATAAAGTGTTGCATCCAAACCAATTCAGGTATAATGTGATAATCAATCTGCAAGATATATTGCAAAGAATCTCGTCTTTCATGAGCGAACGAAGCATATTAAAATTGATTATCATGTGATACATGAAAGATTGAAGTCAGCGCTCATTAATCTTACTCACTTCAGTACTGAGTTTCAACTGGAAGACTTGTTCACCAAAGGTTTGCCAGTCGATCTATTTAAGCTATTGTTGTCCAAGCTGAGAGTACATGACATGTACTCGCTAGCTTGAAGGGTCGTATGAAGCAAAGTGTTTGGTTAAAGAATGAAGAAGTTGAAGAAGAAGCCCTCTGCAGATGAGACTACAATCAGAGAAAACAAAGAAATGGATTGATCTTTATTTCACTCAATCAAGACAACAGAAGGATTTACACCCGGCGTTGTTTTACTAAGTGGTAGCAGACCCCGCAAGCAAGACGATGTTGTATAGAGACTCGTACTGTTAGTTAGCTAATTAATATTATATTAGACATGTGGTTAGCTTTTATTGGTTAGTTTAATTTTATAGTTGTAGATTAGCCGTTTGTGTACAGTTAATCTCATTGTTCATACATAATGAGAAACTCATAGAGGAAGAGGCAAGAAGCCAAATTCCACAAACTCTATCTTCTTATCCAAACCCTAGCATTCATGGCGACTAGGTTTACACCTTCCTCACCTGCTATTCTTCAAATCTAGAAATACAAGACTTTTAGTAACAAACATGCTATGGAATTAAAACGACCTGTAATATTGTGGCGGTGCCGATATTTGACAGAGATAGAGAGACGGTGACGATGTGAGTTTCGTTACCTTTGTTTTATAGAATAATTGAATGAGGAGGAAAAAAATTATGATTTCAGTGGAGAGGGATTGGATCGACGACGGAGTTGTCGGAAGTCCTTCTAGTGAGTCCGTCGGAGAAGGAGGTGAATGACGACAAACATCTTTCTTTTGCTTTGCGTTTCTGTTTTTGACAAAAAAATTTTTTAACTTGAATTAAAGTGAAAGTTTTTAATAAAATAAAACAACTACCACAGACGGAGCAAACGAAAGAAGGAAACTGTTTGGTCAAGTAGGGTTAGGATTACTTATAATGGGTCAACCGATTTGGGCTCTAATCTATTCAACCTAGCCTATCACTACAACAAATTCGGCCTATTATGACGAGGAAATTTTGTCATATTAGATACCCATTTTGTCATATTAGGTATAGTATGACAAAAGGTGTTGTCACAAAGGTTTGTCATTTTATCGCCATCAGGATAGGTCAAATGTGACAAAAGTTTAAAACAAGGTTGTGACATTTGCTTTCAGTATAACTGAGGTTCTGGGTAATCTATTGTGACAAACCGGGATGTTATGACGATATATTTTGTCATTACTTTTGTCATAATTTGCTTATTCTGACAGAATGTTCGACATTTACACCATTATATTTTGATCACATAATTGTGAGGAACAATTTTTTGTCAAAAATGCATGTGTGACGAATATATTTTGTCATAACTGTATATTAGGACAAACATATTTTGTCATAATTGCATATTGTGACCAATATGATGTATTCATCAATATATTGAATAACATATAGTTGAAAAAATCAATATTCTTGTAACATATAGAAAAAAATTTGCAAACCCAGAAAATACAATGCCATCTAGAAAAACCCCAAACCTAGGAAATAATTTCTGCCCCTGCCGTTGCTGACAATACACTCTTCTTCCTCACTTCCGCCGTGCCGACAATGCATCCTTCTCCTGCCCGCTGTTGGAGCCATCGCTTACAACGAACAAGAAACAATAACAAACTAGAAAAGAAACCCCAAATCCAAACCCAGAAAATGCAAATTGCATTTTCTTCCAATCTCTTCTTCCTCACTTCCACGACTGCCGAGAAACCATCCTCTCACCCATCTTCGGAAGCCAAAAACCCTATCTTCTTCCAATCTCAAAACCCCATCTCTAGACTCTGCCCCCTCGCTGAAAACTAAACACCCATATAAGAAAACAGAACAAAACGAAATCAAAATCAAATCTCACAAAATCAAACTTCATATTGAAAATAAAAAATACAACCCACAAAACATACCTTCCATTCTCTTTGATTTCCCCGGCGAAAGAGAAGAAAGTGAGAAGAGGGAATCAAAATTAGACAAATCCAACCACCCCCAATCTGGATTTGCCTATCGTGCCAACCACCCCCGATCTGGATCTACCCTCTGCATCTCGATCTATTCGAGCCTTTGAAGTTGCGAGGGAGCATGTTTCTGGGTTTATAGGCAGAGGAAGATGGGGTTAAAGTGGTGGTTGAGGTCACCATGCGGAGAGAAAAAGGCGACAAATGATGGTTGGCGGCCGGAAGGAGGATTCAATGGTTGGAAATCGGAGGAGACCAGAATTGTCTCTCGGTCTAGTGGGAGGAAGGTCGAGCGACGGATCTGGGAGCTCGGATGGGCAGCTGGAGAAGACGAGGTCCTTTTGTGTGTGAAGGAAGGACAATTGTGGAGGAAGAGAACGGTGGTGGTGGTTCTGAAAGGGTGAGGCAGAGGGTGATAGTGTGAGACGAGAGGAGAGAATCACGACTGCTAGGTTTTATTTGATTTTATTATTATTTTGTTTCTTCAACCCAGCACAAGATATAAATAAATGAGGAAGGCAGGGAGGGAGGGAAATTTCGGTGGGACTTGGGAGGGTATTTTGGGCGGGCTTAATAAAATTTGACTGGGACTTGGGAGGGAATTTGGGCGGGCGTAATAAAATTTGAGAAATAATATGGCAAAAGCTACTCTGATGATATAATTTGTCACTTTTCTGTCTCTTACATCTCGATATGGGATGCCTATTTTGACAAACTTAATTGTGACACGAAATATTTGTCACATTACTCACTTCAAATGACAAACTATTCTGACAACAAAAAATTTGTCACAGTTGAATCTCTTACATCCCGATATAAGACGCCTATTTTGACAAAATTATTTGTGACACGAAATATTTGTCACATTACTCACTTTAACTGACGAATTATTCTGACAACAATTTTTTTTGTCACATTAGGCATACCAAATAGGACATATATTTTTTTGTCACATTAGGCATACCAAATAGCAGCAACCAACTGCATATTACCACCTTTCTCTAGTAAACAAAAGCAAAAATTCCCTGAATATAACACAGAGTTTGTTTCAACATCAATTACATGGACAGAGCAATAAATTCGGTGATACTCGGTTGACACAGAAGTCAAAGCACAAACACGAAAACATGGCGACCAGTACCATTGACTATGAAAAACACGACAAACACCTAAACGACCACAATCTCCTTCCCCAGAATTAATGTGGGAAGGAGAAGACGTGGAAGGAGTTTAGTGTGGTGTAGCTAGAGAATGGATCGGCTCTACTAAGGAGATTTCTCCGGAAGTGCTATTGATAGGCGGCCGGAGAAAAACAATTGACGGCAAGTCGGCAATCTTTTTAGTTAAGAAAATTAATGAAAAATCAAATATAAGCTCACCGAAAATTATCGGGATCTTCCAGCGAGAAAATATCAGTAGCGGAAAAAAAAGGTCTCCGTCTTTCTGGCGATTAAGTTGGGCCCAACTCCTGGTTAACGGGTTTGAATGCTCTTTGTTCAAATCAGATCCGCGCCACATAATCATCCACGTGGCCCAATCAAAAAATGCGTCACCGGTACCGCATTTTTTACAGCGACACCGTAGCATTGGCAGCCCACAAACAAAGCCCAAACGCAGCAACATCACAAAAAAAAAAAAAAAAAAACAAAGCCCACAGCGCAAGGGCAGAAAATCCCTAGCACTCTTTAAAGCATCATCTTGGAGCATCCGTGCAGCAGTCGGAAAAGACACTGCCACCATTCGTTAGGAGACCGGCAAGGAAACAGAGAACTTCCCTAGCAAGTTGTTGACCACACTTTTCAAAATTCCTTCAGTATGTATATATACAACTCCGCCTGCTCCATCCACGAGTGAAAATCTTAGAGAGTCTACTAACAAGAAGACCATTAACACTATGTCACGCTTTGTGTTGAGCTCAAACCACCTTTTCCTCTACGGCACCGGCGATGGGACCATCGGAGTACTCGACATGGGAAGCGACCTCAACAATCCGGTAAACCCCACCGACAACTGGAAAACCGTTGCTATCATACCCTGCTGGACTATGGTCGACAACAACTCCGCAAAATCGATCAGCTACAGGGAACTGGAAGTGTTCGGGACGGCGATCGGAGACTTCACTCTGGAGAAATTGAGGGCCGATCTCTTTGACTCTCAGTTCCTGGTCAATCGGGAAGGCTACCAGGTGATGTACCACAGCAGGGACGGCTCGAAAGCTATGGTACTGGGAAAGTGCTCCTTCTGTCAGCTCAACAATATCTTCGGCTGGAGAAGGTACGGTGTGAAGCTGCCGGCGATCACCATTGTGTGGAACCGGTACGATCGGAGCAGCGGCGAGGCGGTGGTCGATTTGGTGGAATTGGGGGAGAGGGCAAAGAGACTGGGGACGGCGGTGGAAGAACAGAGTAAAGAGTTGGGTGATTGCAAATCTAGGTTGAAGGAGAAGGAGGAGATTCTGGAACACTACAAGAGGCTTTTGGAGGAGAGCAAAGAGGCGATGAAGGAGAAGGAGTCGGCGATGAATCGATTGAAGGAGGTGATCGATGACAGGGATGGAGAGATTCGGCGATTGAAGTTGAGGTTAAAAGAGGCGGGTGGTAGTGGCGGCGGCAATGGAATTGGGACAACCGGAGGTGACGAAGAATTGAAATCGATTAGGGATCGTTTGGTCGCTAAAGAGAAACAGGTGGATGATTTCAAGGCGGCTGTCAAATGCTTTTTCAGGACGTAGAGAACTGAGGACAATTGCGTTGATTATGTTGTTCTAGTTCGGTAAGAAATGTGCTTGTGTTTAAAGCTCTGTTCTTTCAAGGATCTCCCGATTAGCCATATTTGCGTATTAACAAGATTTTGGGGTAAACTGACAAAACTTTTATTGAATGAACAATTAGAACTTAAATACAAAACTTCAGCTTGTAGCCTTGTAGTTTCGGCCTTCACTGAGCCTCATCCTTGATTCCAGCTAATTTTGCTAACAACCTTATTCACTTGACTCTCAAGGTCTAACTATTATTGAAATTTAATTTGAGCTAATTTGACACACGACATAATTAAATGATTTCCCACTCTTCTCGTGATGGTCCCGGTTCAATCAGGGCCACAACACTGACTAGGTCCGTCCAGCCTTTTGAACCCAAGATCAGCTCGGCTAGTCTAGTGACAAACCAGAGTAGGCTAGGTAAAGAGCGTCAGCCCAATCCTCGAAACACATCCCAAACAGAATGTCTCAGCTTTCACTCCAAAGTCCAAACCTTTGGCTTCATTTCTAAGTAGAGGTGGCAAATGGATTGGATTAGTGGATTGGTGGATTGGATTGGTGGATCCATGGATCAAATGGATTGGATCTAATGGATTGGTGGATTCATGGATTGGATCAAGTGGATTGGTGGATTATCCATGAATCCAAATGACATCCTCAACCAAGGACCAATATGTAAAATGTAAAAAGTTTAGGTACTAAAATGTCATAATGAAAATTTTTAGGTACCAAAATGTAATTTTTCAATGATTATTTTTGTATAAAAATTAAATTTTAGGTACCAAAATGTAAAAAATAAAAATTATAGGTACTAAACCGTAATTTGCCAATGATCCATGGATTCAATCCATGAATCCACCAATCCAATTGGATTTGGATCAAATGGATTGGATTTAGATGGATTGGATTAGGTGGATATTTTTAATGGATTGGTGGATTAGATTGGTGGATTGGATTGAAATTGCCACCTCTATTTCTAAGTAGGGCTCGAGCTTGACCACCTCAACATATCATCTCCTCATTGTCTCATTCTGAGGACTCTAAATCATGACCCGGAGCCACCTACCCGAAAGAAGGGAGGAAAAGGAGGGGAGGGTAGGAAAATTTGGAGGGGAGGTTAAGTTTGGAAGGGAGGGAAATTAGAAGGAATTGGAAAGAAAATGTTGTTTAATGGAGGAAAGTGGAATGGAAAGTGGGAGGGAAAAAATAGATTGGGAATTGTGATATGTATTATATTTTATTGATGATAGAATAGTTAAATAATTTAATTATGTGTTTATACTATTTACATTAATTATGTAATGTGGATCAAATTTGTTCTTCTTTGTAAATTTTGTTAACTACAACAAATCAAAAGTTGGTTATTTGAATGAAATTTGTCAACCTATTACTAAAATTTTGTTAACTATTTTATTGAGTAATAACATAGCAACTAAATATATAAACATACAACAAATTACAGATACATAAATTGTCCAAAAAGCAACATGATAATAGTAATTTCCCAAACATAAGGTCACATGCTAATACTAGAAGTACATACATTCATCCAAAATAAAGGTATCCGCTAATACTAGACATACATAATATTATACTTAACAATTTAATTCATTAAATACAGATATTGAACGTGTTATAAAGATTTTATACGTGTTTAATACGGGAGCCATCAAATGCACGGGGAAAAATTAAACGATTTGACAATAATACGTATACGAAAGTTTTAAACGAATAAAATATGTATGGGCATATGTATTTGAATATTTACTACAACTCATAATTATGTTCCTCACGCAAAATTAGAAGTGCTGAATTGGAAAGGGTGGGGTGATATTATTTTCTATTCACACAATTAGAACTTCCCCAATAATCCCCATTACTCTTTCCTATTCTCTTCCTTCACCGTTTCTCTCTTGTCTGATTGTCTCTGGAAACCGAGAAGACAATTTTCTAGATTTGGTGAGTTCTTTGTTTCTTCCCTTCATTTTCCAGCATATAGGCGATTCATTTCTCCACTCCTTCCATCATTTCTTCTCCCGATGGGTTCTTCGCTGACCCCTTTTTTCTTCCTCTCTCTCGGTTAGCCTAGAAAATTATTTGTATAAACCCAGTTGGATAAGGAGAACAATAGGGTAAACCCATCCAGGGTTTAGTGTGCGGTTTGTAGGTCGGGAGAACAATAGGGTAGCTCATTCGGTAGCTAGAAAGGCCCTCTCTTTGTACCCGTCTGTAAATCGCTCTTTTGATTTCAGGACCTGGCTGTTTTCCAGGATGTAACTATCTCTTTGTTTCGATCAATATATCCTATCTTTTGACAAAAAAAAAAAAAAAAGGAGAGCATGGATTCAGGTAAAATCAAGGCATGCATGTGTCTTTTCTTGTGTTTGTTTTTGTTTAAATTGAGTCCTGGGGATGGAGGAAATGAGAGCCGACCGATATCCTCGCCGGCTATTGACGATGGGGCATCATCAAAATCGCTCTGGTGATGCTTTTTCTTTTGGTTCAATTTTTTTTTTTCTCTTTTTTCCTTTCGATTGGTTTCTGGTTATTCATTTTCTTATGCAGGTGAGAAATTTTCTGGGTTTTGTGAGAAGAAGAACGAAGAGGAAAGGGGAAAAAAGACCGAAGAAGAAGAGAGAGGGGGAGAGACGGATAGAGAGAGACGACGGGAATAAAAAAGAAAAGAAAAGAAAATCAATTCACTCCAGTCTCAACGTTTTCTCTCCAATTCGGAGGGGAGGGTTAAACAGTGTGTTTTCCCTCCCCTTTCCTTTCCTCCCACAGCTTTCCTTTCTTTGCAAACGGGGGAAAATGTTTGGGGATTCCAACTTTCCCTCTGCTTTTTCCTTTTCCCTCCTTTTCCGCTCTTTATGAACATAGTGTTACTCTCCACCACGAGCTTGGCATCAAGATTCGAGCCTCAATCAAAACCCACGCTCTGTTCTCCTATAAATAGACCATTCAGGTTAACTTCAATGAACTATTAAAGTTAACCTCCAGGCTATGCTCCTAAGCCTCCGTCTGACTTATACATACAGACTAGTATAAACCCATTTGCAATCACTTCGCGACTGAACGAGTACGTGATATTTTAAGAAGTAATAGTTTGAATTTTGATATAAAAGTAAAAGGTTTGTCATCTACAACTCTATATAGTCGTCGCAACGATAAACTTTAATAAGGGAGAAGGGTCGTAAAGCAAATGATTTCTATGTTTAAGTTGTAAACACCGGGTTCAAGTTGTTTTGATCATATTGAATACGTTGGATACCCATCGATTTAAGTGCTGAACCAAAAGAAAAAAGATAAATAAAAAACACTAAAGCAGATAAAAATATGTCCATACCAAAAACTTTACACATCGAGCTCAACTCAGCCTGATGGGTTCAAACCAATTTTTTAACAATTCACACTGGACCAGAATGCCAATTCTAAAAGCATATAAAACGCACTCTCAATACAAAACTCGTTAGCACTAGGTATGGGTTCAATTGTCATTTTCATACCAAAGGAAAAGGAGAAATAAAACCCATTAAAGCGGACAAAACTCACTCTCGATCCAAAACTCGTTCAGCTCGCTTTGACCCGGTTGAATCGAGCTCTTAACAAATTCACACTCTTCCCAACTTCCCAACTACAAAAGCGCATAAAACTCGCTCCCGATACAAAAACTTGTAAATACCATGAGTTTGTGTAGAATTGTCATTCTTAACGAAAAGAAAGATTTAGAAATTTAAAAAATACTAATATTGGATTCGAGTCACTTTGACCTTGTCGAATCAAGTTGGATACCCATTAATTTGAGTTCAATTATCATGCTTAACTCAATATGGTGTAAAAGAAATATTTGAAACTTTCTTTCTCCTTATTTGTTTGTTTTATCATTATTAAAAACCCACAGTTCCATTAGTGACCTGTCATCTCCTTCCCAAGCAAGTTGTTGAACACACTTGCCAAAATTCCTTCGGCATATATATAACTCCGTCCGCCAGCTCCATTACAGAACACAAGTAAAACTCACATGACTCACTCCACCATAATCAGAGCTTACTAACAAGAAGACCATTACGACTATGTCACGCTTTGTGTTGAGCTCAAACCACCTTTTCCTCTACGGCACCGGCGATGGGACCATCGTAGTACTCGACATGGGAAGCGACCTCAACAATCCAGCCAGCTCCTGCGACAACTGGAAAACCGTCGGTATCATACCCTGCTTCACCATGGTCGACAACAACTCCGCAAAATCAATCAGCTACAAAGATCTGGAAGTGTACGGGACGGCGATCGGAGGATCCACTCTGGAGAAATTGAGGGCCGAGCTCTTCGACTCTCAGTTCCTGGTCAATCGGGAAGGCTACCAGGTGATGTACTACAGCAGCGACGGCTCGAAAGCCATGGGAGTCGGAAAGTGCTCCTTCTGCATGCTCAACAATATCTTCGGCTGGAGGAAGTACGGTGTGAAGCCGCCGGCGATCAGCATGATGTGGAACCGGTACGATAGGAGCAGCGGCGAGGCGGTGGTGGATTTGGAGGAATTGGGGGAGAGGGCAAAGAGACTGGGGATGGCGGTGGAAGAACAGAGTAAGGAGTTGGGGGATTGTAAATCGAGGTTGAAGGAGAAGGAGGAGATTCTGGAACACTACAAGAGGCTTTTGGTGGAGAGCAAAGAGGTGTTGAAGGAGAAGGACAAGGAGAAGGAGTCGGCGTTGAATCGATTGAAGGAAGTGATTGGGGACAGGGATGGGGAGATTCGGCGATTGAAGTTGAGGTTGGAAGAAGCGGGCGGCAATGGACTTGGGACAACAGGAGGAAGTGATGAATTGAAGGAGATGAGGGATCGTTTGGTTGCTAAAGAGAAACAGGTGGAGGATTTCAAGGCGGCTGTTAATGCTTTCTTCGGGAATTAGATGTCCTAGAAATGCTTTCATTATGGTGTACTGGTTCGGTCCGAAATGTGATTGTGTTTAAAGATATTGGGTATTAACAGGATTTTGGGCACAATAGACTGTCCTTGAAGACCCAAAGAAAAATAAATATTAAAAGCTCTGTAACTTGGTAACGAAGTAAATCCAGATGAGGACAAAACAGAGCAGGTACCTAAAAGCTAAGCCTAATGAATATTCAGCAGAAAAGAAAAGACTCTGGTTCTTTCCATAATGAATATTCCCTGCCTGTCGTCTTCCACTTTTTTTCTGAAAAGTTTCTCCTTGCTTAACAAGTTGTCTAGCATTAACTTGAGTCTTTGCCATATATATAATAATACAACACTACTCCTTCGCCATCGACTCACCTGAACTCACCGATTCCCCCACCCAGTCGGAAAAGAAGGAAGTGAAGGGATTCGGGTTCCATAGCCAGAGCTCAGGAATCTTCTAATAAGTAATCCAAGGTAACCACCACAATGCTCTTTCTTTTTTTTTAATTTAATGTGCAAATTGCCATCAATAATTATCAGCTGATGCTTCCTTGTGGTTGTGGTGTGGATGGACAGCAATGTTGTCGTCGTCGCGGTTTGTGGTGAATTCCAACTCATTCTTCCTCTGCGGCACCAGCGACGGAGTCGTTGCAGTAGTGGACACTGTTACTGATCTGAATTACCCCTCCTACCCCTCCGACGGCTGGAAGATCATCGCCGGGGCAATAGGAACTGTAACCACAACCACAATGACAATCGCCAGCGCCACCATCCCGGCCGGGACGAAATGTTACAGGGGGCTGGAAATATTCGGGGCCATAATCGAAGGCAGCAGCCTGGACAAATTGTGCAATGATCTCTTCGTTGCCCAGTTCTTAGTCAACCGAGACGGCTACCAGATCAAATACTTCGACAAAAACGCAGCGGGTGGTGAATTCGTGATCGGAAGCAGCCACATGGTGAAGCTGAACAACATGCTCGGGTGGGAAAAGTACGGAGTGAAGCGACCAGCCACTGCCCCGATCACCGCCGTGTGGGACCGTTACGACGTGGCGAAAGGGGAGGTGGTGGTGGATTACGTGGCGGCGGAGGAAAGGCGGAGAGAGATGGATGCGGAATTGGGGAAACAGAGGAGGGAGTTGGGGCAGTTGCAGTTGAGGTTGGTGGAAAAGGAGGAGATTTTGGGGCATTATCAGCGGATTCTGGAGGAGAGTAAGGAGCTTTTGAGGGAGAAGGAGAGCGCGAAAGAGCGGCTGAGGGAAGTGATTGAAGAGAAGAACAGAGTGGTTGAAGAGCAGAGCAGAGTTATTAAGGAGAAGGAGATGGAGATTCAGAGTTTGAAGTTGAACAAGGAAGAGGCTGCTGGTGTTGGGGATGATGGTGAGTTGAAGAAGGCAGGGGAGGGTGGTGGGATGAAGGAGAAAGTGGCGGGGGATGAAGATGATGAACCCAAGGCAGCCATGGATTCGTTCTTGAGCTGTTGTAGGAAGGATTTGAAGGTGGCAATCGTAGCTACGAACAGGGCTTTCTTTGTCAATGTTGTTCTGGCTTTACTTCTTGCATGCTTTTGTTTCTTTCGCCTTTTTGTTTGATTGATTTAAGTGCTAAACACATTTGTGTCAAAGGTGGTAGTTTGATTTTGGTGTTAACAAGGTTTTAGTTATGCTCTTGCCTGTGAAAAATTAGTTGGTTTCATTTTGGATGCCGCATACTATAGCCCAGTTGTTTATACAGCAACTAGTAAAAGCCAACTCGTTATCACTTTGTGAATCAGAAAAATAAATATTTTATAATTAATAGTTTTAATGTTGACCCAAAATGAAATTAATCGTATTTCATTTTTAATAATTCTTTTCATAGGTTTGTTATTTATAATAACAAATGGCCGATGAACTTGTATAAGGTAGAAGGGTCGTCAAATAGGTTATTAATGTTTAAACTTTTTTCACGACGTTATTGTTTCAATTTGTATGACTGGTAGTTGATCATGCTGTAACTTTTGCAGAATGAAGTAGCTTTTCTAAATCTTTTCGAAAAGTATTAAAAAAAAAAAACAGTTTAGTGTTTAGTTGAAAACTATGAGAATTACTTTCTAATATAAGAGGTATTGTAAAATTACTACAAAAGAAATCTAACATAAACTATGAATACAAATTCTAAAAATAAAAAGTATTTAAAATGGATCACGTTAGATTTATATCATATAAAAAAATACTATTTTTCAATTTTTAATTATAATGATATAAATAAAAGAAAATTATGTTTTCTAGAAAAAAGAATAATATATGGTAAGGACAATTCTGTATTTATAAATGTGCTAATACCACTACAACACCCGAATTATCCGGAAAATGCCACTTGTGGCCTATTGTTTTCAATATTGCATTCCTATCCCATCGTATGATACTTTGTGTCATTTGTATCCTGGTACTTTCGTTGACTGTTAAAGATAACGGCTGATCAGACGGTGATCAAAGTAATTTTGACTTTCGATGACGTGGCAAAAAACACGACATCCACGTAGATACCACATCATTTTGTAATATAAAATTAAATAAACAATAAAACAAAATAAAATAAAGAAAAAATTGGGTACAATGGAATCTTTGGAGATTTACCCAGATTTTCGTGGGATTTGGATGGAGGATTTTTTAATTGGGGTTCTTTCTCGATCTGGAAATCAGATAAGCTTGCCCATCACTTCAACCCAGTAAAACCCCAAATCCCATCACAAACCTTCATCCCTGGTGTCTCCGTTTTTGCTTCTCCCATCGACGATGACCACCTTCGACCCTCTCTGCCAAAAGAAGCTACGACGGATCCGAAGAAAAATAAAACAGATCTGGTTTCATAGTTGTTGTCGTCGCTTCACCTTGCCGCCATCATGTCTCTGTATCCTCCTACGGGCGGCTCTGCTACCGTCGCGTTCACCATAGGCCAGTGATTCCTCAATCTTCCCCTAGTTCGAAACATTTGACGAATCGGGATTTCAACTCCAAATCTACCTTTCCTCTGCAAGCGAGTTCATCTCGCGCTTTGTGCCACCGCTTGGCTCCAATTGCAGCGAAGGAGATGAGTGTGATGGCGGCAAAGACGGTGACGATGGCAGCTCCTTTAGGGTTTCATTGCTAACTAAATCGGAGGCCCGACGCCGCTTCTGTCTCCGATTGGCCATGTTAACTGGATCTGGACGTCTTTTCCTTCCGCGTTTCGATCCGAAGGTAGATCTAGATTCTCTTTTTCATTTTGACTCCATTCTCTTCTTCGTTTTGCTTCCCGACATCCAAGCCTTTGTTACCACAGTTAATCAGATCTCCATTTGGGGTGCGTCAACGGCTTCCGATCTAAAGGGGCTCTTCGAAAGCAACATGGATGGATTGATTTCGATTTTTTTTCTCTTGTTGTTCGCCAGATATGGAGCCCGGGCTCGAGTTCTAGCTCCCAGCTCCTGGTCCAGTCATTGGTAGTTGTGGGGAATAGAAATGGATTGGTAGCTCCATAGCTCTAGGGAATAGAAATGGAATCCACAAGTGAAAAGAAGGGATTGGAATGCAGGGAATGAATCATGGAGATTATTTTGAAATATTAGTTACATTTTTTTCCTTATTGTAATTATTTTAGATGGAAAAATAAATGAAAATTTCACGTTAGATGCCACGTCAACGCTGACTAGATTTTCTGTTAAATAATAACGGTCAACGCCGGTCAACACTAACGGAATAATAGTTCAGGACGCAGATGGAATATTGGAAACAATAGGACATAAGTGGCATTTTCCGGATAGTTCGGGTGTTGTAGTGGTATTAGCCCTTTATAAATCGAAGATTATGCTTTTAAGTTACGAAAAAATCTAGCTTTTGAAGAAGCGAAACTTAGAGGTGTTTGGCTTGGCTTCAACTTTTGAAACATATATCTTCTATAATTTGGGCCATACATAGTCGTACTCATTAGGTTTTTTTTTGGGGGTTTGAGGTAAACGTTGTTCTCCTTTATGAAATTTTTGGAATGATTGAAGGTTTGAGTAGGTTCAACTAGCTTTGACCTGGTTGAACCGATTTTTGAGCAAATTCACACCTGACATAACCAGCCAATTACATAAACAGATAAAACTCGCTACCGCCGAAAACCTGTAAAACCGGGTTCAACTCACTTTGGTCGGGTGGAATTAGGTTGGGTACCAATGCGTTTGGACTCAATTGTCATTCTCAACCAAAAGGAAAAAGATAACAAAAATACTTAAGCGGATAAAACTCGCTCACGACCCCAAACTCTCAACACTGCGTTCAACTCGCTTTCGGGTTGACCAAGTTTTAACAAATCACAATTTACTCAACCCATCAATTACAAAAATGGATAAAACTCGCTTTCGATACGAAACACGTCAACAATGGGTTAGAGTTCAGTTGTCCTTCTCACCAAAAAAGAAAAATGAGAAATAAAAAAATATTAAAGTGTACAAAACTCGCTTTCTATCTAAAACTGGTCAACAATGTGTTCAACTTGCTTTGACCAATTTTTTAACAAATTAACACTTCGTCCAATCTGTCAACTACAAAAGCGGATAAAGCTCGCTCACAATACAACCCTTGTCAGTACCTGAGAGTCCGATTCAATTGTCTTCCCAACCAAAAGAAAGAAAGAGAAATTTATAAATACTAAAGTTGGTTTCAAGTCACTTTGACAGGATCAAATTAGGTTGGATACAAATGGATTTGGGTTCAATTGTGATCATGCATAACAAAAAGGAAAAAGAGATAAAAAACACTAAAGATGATGAAACTCGATCCCAATATAAAACTCATGGTAGCAGTCTAAGGAAACGGTGGTGGGGAACAAATTAGGATTCCGCCGACAGTATTTCGAGATGGGCTGCGAAATGGTGGGCAAAGACGATAATTTGGGCAAAAAACCATAGACGAAAACCCAGTGGATAGTTTTTGCATAAGGAGTTGAAAACCTACCGTAGACAATAATTGTTATGGGAAACACAATGGACAATAGATGTAAACCTAGCAAACAATAACTAAACTGTAGAATGTAGAGTGAGGTAAAAAAGGACTTGGAACTTCCCTGTTTGCACTTGGTGTGAAAAGGCGATGATTTGGGTTCAAGTTAGGATACCCATGTATTTGTGTTCAATTGTGATCATGCTCAACAAAAAGGAAAAAAAACAGGAAAAAACACTAAAGAAGATGAAACTCGGTCCCGATACAAAACTCGTGGTAGCGGCTTTGGAAAACGGAGGTGGGGAACAACTTAGAATTCCGCCCACAGTATTTTGAGATGGGTTGCGAAATGGTTGGCAAAGGCGATGATTTGAAGCCATAGACGAAAATCTAGTGGATAGTTGACTCACTCCTACCGTCACTCTAGAAATTGGCCAAGTGTAACCACTTCCTAAAGCGTAGTATATCGGGTTTGGGTTTTAATGTCAACCCGGGTCCTAGATTTGATGACTGATCAGTGAATTCTTATTATCTAGCAGTGAAACTTTAGTGCAAGTCCAAATTAACAAACAAACTAAGCAAGTTAAACGGCTATTTTCAAGTCGAGAGAGGTCACCCGGATATGGTTCCCCCTAGACTGTAGTTAAGCCGGATTGCAATTTACCAAGTTCAGTTTTCACGATAGTTACACCGCGGAAGGTTCTTAAACCGTCTGAAGTCTCGACTAAAGGTCTCCAGACCCTCTCAATCTGAGTCCCCAACGGGTGACTAACCTCCACCGGAGTAAACAGATTGAGGCCCTAACGAACCAAACCTCCACTACCGAATTGAATTCGGTACAGAATAGTGAACTGGCTCCTCGACTAAAGTCGCCAATTCACTACCTTCAATTAAGGGTGCTCTATCAACCTAGACAGATATTCTCTTTCTAGGTTAAAGCAGAAACAACAGGAATTTGATCAGGATTCAAGTCATTCAATCATTCAAGCCTCAATCGAATATAATCAAATCATAAAATCTGTACTTGGGTTCATACAATCAGACCTAACATACAAATCTAGGGTTCTCCATACCCAGATGAATGGGGAAACTACTCCATGGAGAGAGAAGCAAAAGCAGATTCAGATGCGAAAATCATACTATGAAGAATGAGTTTCTACTCCTGGTCGTCGATCGGCACTTCTCCAAGCTCAAGCCGGGCTCTAATGGTGATGAAGATCAAGCTATGGCACTTGGGAACTCTGGTTCGTCGCTTTCTCTCTCTAGGAATCGCTCTGTCTCTCTAAAACTCAGAATCCTTGATTTTTGGCCTTCTTTTCCTTTAAAAGGTTGACTGTCGCGATACCCGGTCGGGTATTTTGGGTCTCGACTGGGTATAATTGAAACGCGCCGCTTTGCCTCAGGGGAAATCCCCGGTCATGGCCAATAATCCCCGACCGGGGATTTTCGCCTCCTGCCCGGGCCCCCTTCTGTTTCTCACGGATGCCCAAAGCTGCAAATCCCCCACCATGGCCAGATAATACCCGACCGGGTATTTCTGCTCATGGCCGGGTATTTTTGCTCTCCAGCACACTTCAAGCCTCACTTGCTCCTTTCGACCCGAATCTCGTTTCTTCGCCTCGATGCCAACGCTAAGCCCTGAAATATGACATAAACGCACAACCTAGCTTGAAATTGTTTTAAAACACGAGAATCAACATCTCAAACGGCTCAAGAATAGGGGTAACAAACTGTGCAATTATCGGTTTATCAAACTCCCCCACACTTAATCGTTTGCTTGTCCCCAAGAAAACCTAACTCAAACCAATGCAACTCTCCAGACCTCTATAG